GAAAACTGCAGCTTAGGGAGGATAAGTAACTTGCCAAGGTCTCAGAGCTAGTAAGTGATGGACCTGGGGCTTAAGCCCAATGTGTGTGCCTCCGAAGCTCTTGTTCTTTTCACAAACTCCAGTTCCATCTGGGTCCTGTCCTGATTCTGCTAGAACTCGTCATGTGGCTGTCCACGAAGGAGAAATGCAATCCATATCTCTTGAGGGGGTGGTTGGGTAAATGGATGGACTGATGGAGCTGGGGATTCAGGGGGATGAGAGTACTACTGAGAAAAGCAGAGGGAGAGTAGGCATCAGGACCCATGGAATAACAAAGACTGGAAGGTAACATTGGCCGAGATGGACTTGAAAAGACAGGGTTGGGTTGTGAAGAGACTCTCCTAGTCATGCAGGAAAAGATCAACACAGCAAAACAAAGCTTTATTGTGTTCTATGAAATCATTCTTCTGTAAGATTGCCACACATTCCAGCTCACATGTACACTTTCACTCTTTTCCTGTTGTGTTAATGTTTTACAATATCAAGTTTAAAATTAAAAACTAATACTTGTGAGGGTTCCTGAAAGGCTCACCAAAACTGATTAAAAAACCCATCAAACTTGGCCAGGCTTCGAATCCTGGTGTATATAAGTGTAGGTAGTACAGGTAATGATTTTGTTTTTTTAAAGCGAAATATCAGAATATAGCTCTCCAAGTGAGTGTTAATGTCAGGGTAGTATCACGATGGCCTCAGAAGCTTCCTTACTGTCCCGGAGCTGTTGCTGTTGTTCACATTCCTTAAACCCTTCCTTGGGAATTGCCATCAGGTGCTAGAGTTCATTCTTTTGTGTGTATTCAAGGGTGTCAGAGCTTCATCCCTTTAAGGATGAAGATTGCGGGGGGGACCCCAAAAATCCAAACCACAAAGCCTCACATTGTTTTTAACAGCTAAAACGCCACGGCATTACGCTTTATGAAGGTGGGTGAAATAAGCCAGGTGGTGCTAGCATGCTCAGAAACAAGGGTGGTCATTGGAGATGGAGAAAAGAAAGGGCAGCCCGTGTCATGGGGTCAAGTTCAGCTGACACCATTTTCTTCTCCGTGGAAGGGCCCAAGGGGCTGTAGCGTCCCCAGGACTACTGGACTGGGCTCTGGTGACATGGTGACTGTGTGGCCGTAGCCCCACATCCAAGAGAGGTGACCGTCTTTTCTCGGACGACACAATCAACAGTCCTTGGGCCTCTCCTCCAGCCTGGCTTTTCTAATAAGACGAAAGCCCCCGAGGCCTGATAACATGCTCTTTATTCATACCAAACACTTCTCGACTTTCAAATCTGTATGGCTTTACTTGCTTTGAGATGAGCAGATTTATATCAGGCCCATTCAGATAAGTGACAGGTCCAAATGAACATTAAGTAGGAGAGGCAAGATGTAAAAAGATACAAGAAGGATCATGACATCTCTGCCCTATCTATATATTTTCCAGGTCACCGAAAGTCACATTTCATTTATATACAATTTACTCTATGGCCATGACAGTATAATTCAAAGTGGACATCAAAATAGCACCAATTAACATCGTGTAAGACAGATAAGTATAAAATGAACTTGACTTCGTAGGCTAAAGATTGAAATGACTCTTGGTCAAGAGGCTGCTCAACAAGCCTTCTCTATGACCTGAGCCCCCAGCCTCGGCCTGCTCCTTTGTGGCTGTTCCAGTTCCTCTCCCCCAGGTCCCCCCGTGCCAGGCCCCTGGGGGTCAGTGATAGACCTGCTTCCTCTTCACTAAAAGAAAGGCCCGTGCGATCTGCTTTCTTCCCCTACAGTCATAAGGATGTACCATCAAATCAAGTATTTTTTTTTCCTATCAATTAATTGTCTGCTCCTTTCACCAGGACACTCATTCGGGGACAATACTTTTTCAAGCCTGTAATGTGTTTGTCTTTATACTCAGTGAAAAGGCCCTTTCTGCTTTCTCCAACAAGCAGCTTTTCTTCAAAACCTAGCCCTAAAGGGTCCCTGCAGGATGAGAACATTCCGCCCTTTGCAGACTGCCCTGCTTCATCTGTCTTCTCAGCCTTGCCCAGTTAATGCTGCTCTAGTCTATTTTTGGTGACAGAAATACATTTGTCCCTGTGTTGTATGTATCAGAGCTTCCCAGCCTGTGAGCATGGGATCCAGTGTGCCAGCCTTCCTCCCAGCCTCTAGGGAGGCAGGGTCAGGATGGTCTGAGCCCTCTGGGTACAGCTTTCTCCATGTGCCCCGTGTGCTGCACAAATACCATATTCTATGTGTGCTGTGACATTAAAGAGACGGGAAGCCCTGGGCTAGGCCTTCCAACTGCTCTATCGCTTTCACTAGTAGTTTCTCTTACTGAGAGAGAACATTTGCCTTCAGCCATCCCAGTGAGGACCTCTGTTGAAATGTCCTCCCCAAACCGCCCTCCTTGCTTCTTTCTCACTGTCATTTGTAATGATAAGGAACTTTTCCCCCCTCCTTATTCTTATCCTTTTCCATTTTCCTAAGACTGATAGGAACCGCATAGTTTCCTTTGGCTAATTTCCTTTTCCTTTGTTTGCCCTGGAGTAGCCTCTACAGACTAGATGTTTTTTTGTTTTTCTTTAATTTATTTTTATTTTTGCTTGCATTGGGTCTTCGTTGCTGCGTTCAGCTTTCTCTAGTTGCGGTGTGTGGGGGCTACTCTTCGTTGTGGTGCGCGGGTTTCTCATTGTGGTGGCTTCTCTTGTGGAGCACGGGCTCTAGGCGCACCGGCTTCAGTAGTTGTGGCACATGGGCTCAGTAGTTGTGGCTCGCGGGCTCTAGAGCGCCGGCTCAGTAGTTGTGGTGCACGGGCTCAGTTGCTCTGAGACATGTGGGATCTTCCCGGAGCAGGGCTCGAACCTGTGTCCCCTGCATTGGCAGGCGGATTCTTAACCACTGCGCCACCAGGGAAGTCCTCTGCGGACTAGATGGTTGTGAGAGGGTATAATCACCTGTACACCTTGAATTAGTGTGTGTGTGTTTGTGTGTGTGTGAGAGAGAGAGAGAGAAAGAGGTGGGGGGCACACGTGAGAGCAAGAATTTCAACATACTAAGAGACAGTATAGAGTTCCAATTTAAAATGTGGGTCTGGAGTTGACTGTCTGGGTCTAAATCCTGGTTCAGGATCATTTATTAGTTGTGTGACTTGGAGCCACTCAACCTCTATATGCCTCAGTGATGTCATCTGTAAAATAGGATTAACAGTAGTTCCTACTTCATAGAGTTGTTCTGAGGAATAAATGAGTTAATACTATAGTGTACCTGGAATGGAACCTAAATATTGCCTACACCAGGGATTGGCAAACTGGCCTGCTGGCCAAACCAGCCCACCACTGTTTTTGTAAATAAAGTTTTATTGTAACACAGACATGCCCATTCACTTACACATCGTCTAAGGCTGCTTTCTCACTACGATGACAGATGACAGAGTTGAGTAGTTGCAATAATGACCCTATGCCTGGCAAAGCTGAAAATATTTACCATCTGTCAGTCCCTTTACAGAAAAAAATTTGCTGACCCCTGGCTTAGAATATTGTCTAGTAAGTCCTCAATAAAAATGATCAATTAATATCAATTTTAGTAAATCTCAATTTTTATTGCTTTTCCAAGATCAAGTTTTGTTTTTTCCCTCAAGATCAAGGTCTAGATCTGAATCTGTTGATTTTCTGACCTTTTTTTCTTTTTAGTAAATGTGTTAAAGGAAAGTGACAAAAATACTGTCAGTAATAGCACAAGTGGTACAAAAATATTCAAAAAATCACAAAAGTGGTTATGTGAATGGCCCAAGTTTTATGAACATTTTTCTAAGGCTTCTAGAGCTTATTTTGCTAGGTTACTTGCTCTTGTACTTTTGCTACTATAATTTTTTAAAAATAGACTTGATTTTAGAATTGTTTTAGATTTACAGAAAAATTATGAAGATAGTACAGAAAGTTCTCATATAGTCCACATCCACTTTCCCCTATTATTAACATCTTACATTAGTGGGGTACATTTGTCACAAGAAATTAACCAAGCTTGATACATTATTATGAACCAAAGTCCATACTTTATTTATTTTAAAATTTACTTAATTTATTAATTTGTTTATTTTTTGGCTGCGTTGGGTCTTCCTTGCTGTGCGTGGGCTTTCTCTAGTTGTGGTGAGCAGGCTTCTCATTGCAGTGGCTTCTCTTGTTGTGGCGCATGGGCTTAGTTGCTCTGCAGGATGTGGGATCTTTCCGGACCAGGGCTCGAACCCATGTCCCTGCATTAGCAGGCGGATTCTTAACCACTGCGCCACCAGGGAAGTTCCCCCCTCACTTCCCTTAATGTGATCTGTACTAACCATGGCAGCAAAGTCATCTGAATTGCATGTGGATCCCTAACCTGAGAGAGCAGTAGCAGTGGTCAGCTGAAAGACCTGGGCTCACAATCCTACTTGGTCTGCCGGCTGCTTTTTCTGGGGGCTCTCAGGGTACACTAACCACCCAGACTTGAGGTCCAAATGTCTGGTGTGACTCTGACGGCGCTGTTGCAAAATTTAAGTATTCCATCCCAGCCACAGACTTGCTAAATGCTAATGGGAATACTCCCTTCTTGAGCACAGACACCTGCTCTTGGCCACAGGCACCTTTGTACTCTGCACCGTGATGGAGTGAGGCGCAGACACAGTGGCTGAGCGGGGAGAACAGCCACCAATATGAGCATCGGTGGAGCCGCTTGCTCACAGCCCTTAGAGAGCGAGGCACAGCAAGTATTAACCTTCATTTCAGATGAGAAATTAGAAGACCTCTTTGTCTCTTAGCCAAGGTGGAGGCTTAGCAAACCCAGCCAGTTCTGGGACATGAGGAAGCTTGAGAAAAATCTTGCTCCCCAGTATGGAGCTCACTTAGATCAGCTCTGGCCCTTGCTTCTTTGCTGAAGCAATATACTCACCTCATCTCTTGTGTTGCCATGGCATGCTAGCATGAGGACAGAGACCATATCCGGTGTTTAAAGATGGGCAGCAATGCCTGCGGAGAACATGGGACACCCACACCCATCAATTCTGTGTGTTTGTCATTCACTTTAGTCTCTCCTAACTAATCCCATCATGCCTTTCCCTGATAAACCCAGAGTGCTGCCATAGATAAGCTAACTATCTGGGGATCTTATTAAAAATACTGATTTTGGTCCAGTGGATCTGGGTGTGGGCCTGTGAGTCAGCACTAAAACAAAACCCAAAAACCGGGGCTTCCCTGGTGGCGCAGTGGTTGAGAGTCCGCCTGCCGATGCAGGGGGTGCGGGTTCGTGCCCCGGTCTGGGAGGATCCTATGTGCTGCGGAGTGGCTGGGCTGGTGAGCCATGGCCGCTAAGCTCCGCAACGGGAGAGGCCACGGCAGTGAGAGGCCCGCGTACCGAAAAAAACAAAAAACAAAAAACAAAACCCAAAAACCTCCCGGGTAATACTGATGGTGCAGGTTCTGGAACCACAATTTGCTTTAAAGCACCTAGATCTTCAAAGTAGGATCACACTTCCTCTGGCTCACATCTGAGCTCTGCTACTCCGAACTGTGCACCCTTCCCGGATAAATGTTCTTAATCTTTCTGTGCCGTATTTCCTCAACTATATAATGGAGATAATAATGGACTTACCTTGTGGAGTTGTTGGGAAGATTGAATGAGATAATCCCTATAAAGCTCTAGGCACAGTGCCTCAATAAATGTTAGCCACTCTTGTTCCTAGTGAAGCATCATGGGAGAGGCCTGTTTAGGTTGGTGAAGTGTCACAATTTATACATAGCAGAGACATAATCTTCACTTTCTCTCTCTTTTTCCTTGTTCACTGACGAGTCTTTGATTTTGTAGACTGGATTTCTGTTCAAATGTTGGATTTCCATGTGCCAATAATGACCATCGATCAATGAAACTTGCCTTTTCTGGTACAAATACTGTGGATAATTTTTAAAATGTTTTATGCAATCACTGTAAAATACCTTTTTTGAAATAAGAGTTTTTCTTATGGGAGTCTAGAAGAAACCAAAGAAAATGAAACTAGAAAATCATATCTGAAGGCGGTGACTATTTGTCATGTTTGATGACTGGCTCTGTAGCTCTTCAATGTCAGCCTCTTCCCTAGGCAGAAGCCCCCCATCTCCATGTGTACTTATCAAGTATTCCAGAAGTATCTTTCCAACTACATGTTCTTGTTACTCTGTAGTTAAATTTCAAAATTAGATTTACCTTCAAACTTTATCACATTTACCTTGTGATATCAAAACTAATTTTAGGGACTTCCCTGGTGGCGCAGTGGTTGGGAATCCGCCTGCCAATGCAGGGGACACGGGTTCGATCCTTGGTCCGGGAAGATCCCACGTGCCGCAGAGCAACTAAGCCCATATGGCACAACTACTGAGCCTGAGCTCTAGAGCCTGCGAGTCACAACTACTGAGCTTGCGTGCCACAGTTACTGAATCCTCTGCGCGCCTAGAGCCCGTGCTCCACGACAAGGGAAGCCACCGCAATGGGAAGCCCGTGCGGCTCAGCAAAGAGTAACCCATTACCTAGAAATGGTGGCAGCAAGGGAAAATCCCAGGATGCCCTTTCTCATTGATTCTCTAGAAAACTCAGCAGACAATCTAGTGAGGTCTTTGGGATGGCTGATATGCCCTAGCCATGGATTAGGAAATATTGACCTCAAGTTTTTCTCCTTGCTGGGTAGAAACTTTTCATTTTTGATTAGGGTAATGAACTGAGTAGAAAAGCTTCCACCATAATGTGAATTTCAGGTATGTTAGTTCTGGTTCTAATCCCTTCTGTAATGTTGCCTAGTATTTAATTTCTTCGTGTGCCTATCACAATGGTGCTTGCAACAAGGGTTCTGTTAGTTCAGCTGTCACAACAAATTTGTGCAGGGATCAATTTACAACAGAATCAAGAGAGATAATGAGCACCGAAGGATTAGGCCCAGAGCAGTGTATGATTTGATAAAATGTAGCGTTCAGAAAACAGTCACATCCTTAAACAACTTCGGGTGTGGAAACAATGCATCTGTCCACAATATTTATTACATAATAATACAGATTACGCATAAAATGTCTCCTGTTTTTGAACAAAAGATCTCACTGCTTTTCAAGTTAGAGTGCTAGAAGAAATGGTGTAGAACCTTCTTCCACCTCAAGGAGTTATTCTGGGGATTCACAAAACCACGTGGACACAGTGTGGAGACCCTTGGGTAAGAGGCTGTGCGTAGGTACCAAGCTGTGCTTAATAAGGGAAGTGGCTATTATTTGAAAATCCTTGCAGACAGTAAAGTCTAGGATGGCGAGGACCAGATCTCCCTTGTTAACTGCTGTAACCCTTGTGCTTAGCCCGGAGCGGGCATATAGTAGGCACTTGATCAATACTTGATGAATAAATGAAATTAAAGCCAACAAACAGGATGAAACATATTTGTTTATATAAAAGCTAACAGTCAAGTCCAGTCAAAGTTGACTTAATGCCAGTCAAGTCCGGTCAAATCATGGCTGACATGAATACTCTCTACCAACAGGTCATGATTTAAAATTTACCATTAGTAACAACAGAATTTTATAGGTCAACAGTGACAACTTTCCAGTGTTTAGGGGACTGTTCATCCAAGCTCTTTAATGTTGCAGTTCATTCTTTCTGTTGCTAAATTAGCTATAATTTATTGACAGGGCTACTCCTAACCCACAGAGGACCTTTATGAAATCAGAAAAAGCCGCCCTTCCCACCCCTGCTGCGTGCAACCTTGCTGGTGCACACAGGCTGGAGTTCATCTCTCCCTGGCCCCTTCAGCGGGACACACCCCATGCATTGAGAAACCTGCAGAGCTGTTGGCTGCGTCCCTGTTTACTGAGTACCTTCTCATGTCACATACCATGTTGAGTAATCACACACATGTCACCTCAGAATTATCAATGATCCTAACAAGCCTGAAAGGCAAAGATAATATCCCCATTTGATAGATAAGGAAACCGAGGTCCAGAGAGTTTCGTAACTTGTCTGGATTGCACAGTTAAGTAAATGATGGGACGAGGGGTCACACTGAACATCAGAACAGTCTGGAATGCCCTGCTCCAGCTGAAGAGGAAGGAGCCCAGATGGATCCCCAAATTGTACTTCCCTCAGCAGCTGGGGATAAAAACATTCCGAAGCATAAGAAAGGAAGTTTTGTGGTCACTGTAGTCTTTAGTATTGTGTCCTCTGAGAGAGGGTTTGAAACAACCATTTGTTTTCCAACCCTTTTCATGTATGGACTCTGATCTTTCTTTTTTTCTGAATAGGCTCAGAGAAAGGTACCAGTATTAGGATGAATGGAATTACCTTCCCTTTCTGTGTGTCCACCACGGTCTCTTCCTTGCTAGGGCTGGCAGGTGAAGTGTAACGCTTTCCATGGCTAGCTTGCTTGGCGTTCAGGGGGTGCCAGTCGCTGTGCTGGTGCTTTCCAGGTATTAACTCGTGTAATCCTCACAACAGCTCGACCGCTCCTCTTCCCACTCTACAGGTGATGAAACTGAGGCACAAAGAGGCTTAACAAGGCTAGTAAGTGCAAGAATGAAGATTCCAACCTAGTACATTGGAGGTGTCATTTTCAAGATCATAAGATCTCAGTCCTCCCTTTTAGAGCAGATTACTCTCTTCTATCACATAGGAAAAAGAACTACTGAGTGATTAGTGAGGAGTTATTAACTCCAAAATACATTTATTTCAAAATTCAGAGTGCAGTTAATCAACATGAATTACAAAATGAGTGTGTCACTACACTTTTCGCATTTTCTCTAATTTTTGGTGATCATTTTAAAGATGTTTTAGCTTTTGGGGCTACCTCAGAAAAATGTTAGAGACAGTGACTTCTTTTGTAATATTTCCCAGCTTGGTTGACTATTTTCAGGTTGCAGTATAAGAATATTATATGTTGAGGACATTTCCCTACTTCACGTATGCCAGTAAGATTAGAAAAAGTATATAAGAATGAAAATCGATACTGTGATCATGGGCATCAATGTTCTATTTATGACAAAAATTGATAGATCCTTTGGAAACTTAAGACACCATTTGTGTATAAATAAATTTTCACAAAGCTTTTGGTTTTAGGGGAAAAAAACTTGACTTAGCCTGATAGCATAATATATTTTTCAAAATATAAAATTGAGTGGCTATGATTTGGGTGTGTCAACACATTTTTTCCTTCAAGCTTTCTGCTCTAGAAGAATGATGACAATAGAATGCACCCACAGCTGGCACAGCTGGATGAAAATCATTCGTCTCATTTAACTGACAGTACTGATCACTGTAATAACTATTTTACCAGAAAATATAATTGGGCAGACATCTGTGATTAGCATAATAATACATTTCCTTGTCAATTCCCTAACACAGCCATCACCTAAACATCCTTTGTGTGGTATCTAAATGAATTATCTTGTCATAATGAATTTCTTTATAGACCTGAGAAATTGCTTCTGTTAAGTTGCCTTCTGTGCTATTAATTTGAAGGCTTCGTGCATAATGAGGCTGGAGGGGGAGGCGAAGGCTAGCCCTCCTCCCAGCTCTGGACCCCAGGCCCACAGCCTGTGTCCTGTGTCTCAAAATCCTCTCTGAACTCTGCTTCTCCAGCTTCGGGCTCTAATTCCTTTCCACTGGGGAATTCAAACACAGTCGCAGAGGTAGGGTGGGAGACTATTTGATGTGAATAAATGTATTAAAAAGAGAAACAATTGGCAGTGAAATGAAGTAATGAGAATACATAAACTAAGGACGTGAAGATCTGTGACAGTTACTAACTCGGGAAAAACAAACTAAAACTTATTTACACAAGTAATAGTTTACTACACGGCTCAGTTCTTCGTGGCAGACGTATTCATTATGTGTACATATAACTGAGTATCGATATAACCCAAATTACAACATGATTACTATTGTATTTTATTTTTTTAAAGATTTATTTATTCATGTATTTGGCTGCATCGGGCCTTAGTTGTGGCACGTGGGATCTTTGTTGCGGCATGCGGGATAGTCCATTGCAGCGCGCGGGCTCCAGAGTGCACAGGCTAAGTTGCCCCATGTGGGATCTTAGTCCCCCAGCAGGGATCGAACCCGCGTCCCCTGCATTGGAAGGCGGATTTTTAACCACTGGACCACCTAGGAAGTCTCATGATTACTATCTTAAATCATTACTAATATGCAATTACTGAATTGAAAGGAAATGTGAATGTGTAATGGGAGAGGGTAAAGGATGATGGAGGTGCAGAAAAAAAGAGCTCAGTCTTTATTTTCCATAGTGGGAGTTAGTTGAAATGCCCAAACTAAAAAATAACGAAGTAGCAATTCACTTAGAGATATAGGGAAAAAAAGTATCCCTCCCAGACAGCTAAATCTGACCCTAGAGAAGGGGAAAAGAGAGAGGAGACCTGAGTCTTAGTTGTATATCTTAACTTACATTAAATAAGCAGGTAACTCTTTAAACGGTATGCATATATAGCTGGGGTCAGGGGTAACTTAGGGAAAAAAAGAACAAGAAAAGATGAAAAATTATCTTTGGGGGATAAAAAGGTAGAAGAGGAAATATATCACCTAGAGGCCCATTTTAACATGCTGGTTTATTTTCTTCCAGTATCTCCCCCTCTGTTTGCTTTTCCTGTCTTTCTCCTTTCCAATGATCAACATTGCTATAATCATACTATATATAAAATTGGGGCTTCCCTGGTGGCGCAGTGGTTGAGAGTCCGCCTGCCGATGCAGGGGGCGTGGGTTCGTGCCCCGGTCCGGGAGGATCCCGCGTGCCGCGGAGCGGCTGGGCCCGTGAGCCGTAGCCGCTGAGCCTGTGCGTCCGGAGCCTGTGCTCCGCAGCGGGAGAGGCCACAACGGTGAGAGGCCCGCGTACCGCAAAAAAAAAAAAAAAAAAAAAA